CCAGTCGAATGGACTTGCTGAGAATTTTGTCCGAACACCAAAGTCTGCCTTTATTTCACTCTCTTCCACTACTTTTGTGGAATTGGACCGTGGGATTGATAATTTTCTGATGCAATACAGGAACGCTGTTCATTCTGTTACTGGGAAGAGTCGCGCGCTTCTCTTTAAATCTCGTTCGTTGCGTACAAGTCTTGACTGTGCCAAAACGGCACATTTTTCAAGGGTGATGAATTACGACCAGCTACATGGATAGTACTTTCATCAACTGGCATACGGATGGTCACAATTCTCGATTTGGATGATCTCGCTTGCCACTGGAGGCACATTGACCAGGTTGAGTTCAAAATAAGGGGTCAGTCTGTTAACGACACTCTTGCTGTTTCGAAAACTAATGAATCACTTGTAGATGATCTTATGGAATACGAACAAAACGTTGTATCTGAGGAACGCACTACCTGTGAAGAGTCTGAAGTTTCCATTCCGAGAAGATCCGAAAGATTGCGGTCAAGACCACCACTGGACTATAAACACTCACACGCTCATTCAAGGTGTTGCGGATGTGATGAAAATGACTGATACTCTATTCGTTGCCCTGTTCATTATTCTCTTGTTTTAATATTCTGTGTGGTGTACATGTGTACGCCAATTCGAATATATACGTGCCACTTTTTACGCTGATCTGAATTCTGGAAGCAAAAGAGTGATACAAACCACCAAATGGGACACTGAGAGCGGCCATGCTGTGACGGAATAATGAATAATGTAGGGCATATAGTTGGCAATCAGCCCCAAAAGGGGAAGTTTGCTGGATTCATTAACGATGACCGCTCCCGAAGAGAAAATTTACACATCAGAGACTGTGTAATGATAGCTTAACGCAGAAGAAGTATACAAAGTGTCCGTGCGCATGAAGAAGAGGTTGTTGACAAGACTATCTTACTCGTTAATAATTTGGCATTTCACATAGTTCATTCTAAAATTTGGCGAAAAAATAAGAAAAAAACAAAGAAGATTAGGGGAGAAAAGTGATTAACCGAACGCGAGGAGGGTCCATATGTTCCGGAGATTTGAGCTTGAGCTCCAAAGGGCCCATTGATTCATCGTGCCCACGAGAACTGGGAGCAGGTGCGGTAGTGGTCTGGCTAATCAGTAAGTCAGTTTACCAGGAGTGTGTGGCAAAGAAATAAAGATAATTACGCTAGGTTGGGTATAAAAAAATAAAGAAGTCAGATAAAACAGACTCAGAGCCCATTTGGGCTAGCTGCTCCAAGCTGTGGTCATCAACGAAAGCGCTGATGACGTGGGACATGGAGGGTGGAAGTTTGTCGAGACACAATTGGGCCATGATTTCCACCGCTAGCTGACGGCCGCAGAGGAGACTGCGCATGTGGCGAAGCATTTGAGATGGCGATCTGTCCCCAAGTTCGACAGTGGTGAATAGATCCCGTAGCATCCTGTTTTCTGATTTCCCTGTCCTAATTACGACGGCCGCTCGAAGGGCGTCATACGGATTTTCCTAGGAATATCTTCCAACACATCTTCAACTTCTGTTGCTACATCACAAGGAAGATGCTGGACAACATAGGAAAACCGGGTAACTTGGGAAGTGATGTGTCGTGTAGCAAAAACGGCCTCAACCTGGTGAAACCATACCCTGGGGTTGCGTGGGTTGTAGTCCGGCAAACGTGTGCTAATCGCATTCTCGACTAAATCCGCTGAATCAAAGAGTGTCTCCATAATTACCGGGCAAAAGAAACAAAATTACGACGACTTGAATGGAAAAGCTTTCGAAAAAATATCTAGAAATACTAGGGCTCACCAAATTTGTAGTGGTCTGGCTACCCAAATAAGTCAGTTTACCAGGAGTGTGTGGCAAAG